TGTGACAAAGATGGTACTCCGGAAGGGTTTAGAGGACTGGTTGAGCGGCATCTCGGGCAGCACTATCGTAGCAGAACTGATCAAGTACCCTTGTGCAAAACTTCTCAAACTGCCAATGATAGGTTTACTCTTGAGTTAGCTCACACAGCCAAACTGGTCTCTACCGATCGACAGAGACAACCGGGTTATGATACTCGTTGCTTGTGTGTGGTTTTTCATGTGGTGGTTTGCTTTTATATAAAGAAGGACGAAAGCTTTTTCTGTAAGGGATAACAGGGTGGATTGGGCTTCCAATTTAGGCCACACATGGAACCTCGTTTTCTAGCCGATTTACACCTGTATAAAATAAGTCCCTATAAATAAGATCGGTGGACGGCCGACCAGAAGGAAATATGCCCTAGAGGCAATAATAAAGTTATTATTTATTTCCTTATTTCATGATAAATGTTTATTATTCATGTGTCTCGCGGCGGGTATCGTTATTTTCTGACCTTCACAGATGATTTGAGCAGATATGGGTATATCTACTTGATGAAACATAAGTCTGAAACATTTGAAAAGTTCAAAGAATTTCAGAGTGAAGTGGAAAATCATCGTAACAAGAAAACAAAGTTTCTATGATCTGATCGCGGAGACGAATATTTGAGTTACGAGTTTGGTCTTCAACTAAAACAATGTGGAATAGTTTCACAAATTAATGCCACCTGGAAGACCACAGCATAATGGTGTGTCCTAAAGTCATAACCGTACTTTATTGGATATAGTGCAATCTATGATGCCTCTTACCGATTTACCACTATCGTTTTGGGGTTATGCATTGGAGACAGCTGCATTCAAGTTAAATAGGGCACCATCTAAATCCATTGAGATGACACCGTCTGAACTATGGTTTGGCAAGAAACCAAAGCCGTCGTTTCTTAAAGTTTGGGGTTGCGATGCTTATGTGAAAAAGTTTCAAGCTGATAAGCTCGAACCCAAATCGGAGTAGTGCGTCTTCATAGGATACCCAAAAGAAACTGTTGGGTACACCTTCTATCACAGATCCAAAGGCAAGATATTTTGTTGCTTAGAATGGATCCTTTCTAGAGAAGGAGTTTCTCTCGAAAGAAGTGAGTGAGAGGAAAGTAGAAATTGATGAGGTAATTGTACGTTCTTCCGAATTGGAAAGCAGTTCATCACAGAAACCAGTTCCATTGATTCCTACACCAATTAGTGAGGAAGCTAGTGATGATGATCATGAAACTTCAGATCAAGTTACTACCGAACCTCGTAGGTCAACCAGAGTACGGTCCGCACCAGAGTGGTATGGTAATCCTGTTCTGGAAGTCATGTTACTAGACCATGACGAACCTACGAACTATGAGGAAGCGATGATGAGCCTAGATTCCGCAAAATGGCTTGAGGCCATGAAATCTGAGATGGGATTCATGTATGAGAACAAAGTATGGTCTTTGATTGACTTGCCCGATGATCGATGAGTCATTGAGCATAAATGGATCTTCAAGAGGAAGACGGACGCTGATAGTAGTGTTACTATCTACAAAGCTTGAATTGTCGCAAAATGTTTTCGACAAGTTCAAGGTGTTGACTACGATGAGATTTTTTTCACTCGTCTCGATGCTTAAAAGTCTATCCGAATCATGTTAGCAGTTGCCGCATTTTATGAAATCTGGCAAATGGATGTCAAAACGACATTCCTTAATGAATTTCTTAAAGAAGAGTTGTATATGATGCAACCAAAAGGTTTTGTCGATCCTAAAGGTGCTAAGAAGGTAAGCAAGCTCCAGCGGTCCATCTATGGACTGGTGCAAGCATCTTGGAGTTGGAATATATGCTTTGATAAAGTGATCAAAGCATATGGTTTTATACAGACTTGTGGTGAAGCCTGTATTTACAAGAAAGTGAGTGGGAGCACTACAACATTTCTGATAAGTATATGTAAATGACATATTGTTGATCAGAAATAATGTAGAATTTTCTGGAAATCATAAAGGAGTGTTTGAAAGGAGTTTTTCAAAGAAAGACATTGGTGAAGCTACTTACATATTGAGCATCAAGATCCATAGAGATAGATCAAAACGCCTGATATATTTTTCAATGAGTACGTACCTTGACAAGTTTTTGAAGTAGTTTAAAATGGAACAGTCAAATAAAGAGTTCTTGTCTGTGTTGCAAGGTGTGAAGTTGAGTAAGACTCAAAGCCCGACCACGACAGAAGATAGAGAGAGAATGAAAGTCATTCCCTATGCCTTAGCCATAGGTTCTATAAAGTATGCCATGCTGTGTACTAGACCTATTGTATACCCTGCCCTGAGTTTGGCAAGGGAGTATAATTTTTGATCTAGGAGTGGATCACTGGACAGCGGTCAAAATTATCCATAGAGGACTAAGGAAATATTTCTCGGTTATGGAGGTGATAAAGAGTTCGTCGTAAAGAGTTATGTCGATGCAAGCTTTGACACCGATCTGGATGACTCTAAGTCACAATCCGGATACATATTGGAAGTGGGAGAAATTAGCTAAAGTATCTCCATGCAGAGCATTGTAGACATAGAAATTTGCAAAATACATACAGATCTGAATTTGGCAGACCCGTTGACTAAACTTGTCTCACAAGCAAAACATGATCACACCGTAACACTCTTTGGGTGTTAATCACATGGTGATGTGAACTAAGATTACTGACTCTAGTAAACCCTTTGAGTGTTGGTCACATGGCGATGTGAACTATGGGTGTAAATCACATGGTGATGTGAACTATTGGTGTTAAATCACATGGCGATGTGAACTAGATTATTGACTCTAGTGCAAGTGGGAGACTGAAGGAAATATGCCCTAGAGGCAATAATAAAGTTATTATTTATTTCCTTATTTCATGATAAATTTTTATTATTCATGCTAGAATTGTATTAACTGGAAACTTAGTACATGTGTGAATACATAGACAAAACAAAGTGTCCCTAGTATGCCTCTACTTAACTAGTTCGTTTATCAAAGATGGTTATGTTTCCTAACCATAGACATGTGTTGTCAATTGATGAACGAGATCACATCATTAGGAGAATGATGTGATGGGCAAGACCCATTCGTTAGCTTAGCATTATGATCGTTACAGTTTCATTGCTACTACTTTCTTCATGACTTATACATGTTCCTCGGACTATGAGATTATGCAACTCCCGAATACTGAAGGAACACTTTGTATGCTATCAAACGTCACAATGTAACTGGGTGATTATAAATATGCTCTATAGGTGTTTGTTGAGTTGGCATAGATCGAGATTAGGATTTGTCACTCCGTGTATCGGAAAGGTATCTATGGGCCCTCTCGGTGATGCACATCACTATAAGCCTTGCAAGTATTGTGACTAATGAGTTAGTTGCGGGATGATGCATTATGGAACGAGTAAAGAGACTTGCCGGTAACGAGATTGAACTAGGTATTTAGGTACCGACGATCGAATCTCGGGCAAGTAACATACCCATGACAAAGGGAACAATATATGTTGTTATGCGGTTTGACCGATAAAGATCTTCGTAGAATATGTAGGAACCAATATGAGCATCCAGGTTCTGCTATTGGTTATTGACTGGAGATGAGTCTCGGTCATGTCTACATAGTTCTCGAACCCGTAGGGTCTGCACGCTTAACATTCTATGACGATTTGTATTATGAGTTATGTGATTTGATGATCGAAGTTCGTTCAGAGTCCCGGATAAGATCGGGGACATGACGAGGAGTCTTGAAATGGTCGAGACATAAAGATCAATATATTGGAAGGCTATATTCGAACATCGGAAAGGTTCTGAGTGATTCGGGTATTTTCGGAGTACTGGAGAGTTACGAGAATTCGTATTGGACCTTAATGGGCCATACGGGAAAGGAGAGAAAGGCCTCAAGGGTGGCCGCACCCCTTCCCTATGGACTGGTCCGAATTGGACTAGGGAAAGGGTGCGCCCCCTTCCTTCCTTCTCCTTCTCCCTTCCCTTTTTCCTATTCCATGTGGGAGGTGGAATCATACTAGGACTAGGGAGTCCTAGTAGGACTCCACACTTTGGGCGCGCCCTATGAGGGCCGGTCTCCTCCCCCTTCCATCCTTTATATACGAGGCCAGGGGGCACCCCATAGACACACGAGTTGATCATTGATCCCTTAGCTGTGTGCGGTGCGCCCTCCACCATAATCCACCTTGGCCATATCATCCTAGTGCTTAGGCGAAGCCCTGCGACGGTAGCATCATCATCACCATCATCACGCCGTCGTGCTGACGAAGCTCTCCCTCGACACTCAGCTGGATCGAGAGTTCGTGGGATGTCACCGAGCCGATCGTGTGCAGACCAAGGAGGTGTCGTACTTTCGGTACTAGGATCGGTCGATCGTGAAGACATACAACTACATCAACCGCGTTGTCATAACGCTTCCGCTTATGATATATGAGGGTACGTAGACAACACTCTCCCCTCTCGTTGCTATGCATCACCATGATCTTGCATGTGTGTAGGATTTTTTTTGAAATTATTGCGTTTCCCAACAGTGGCATCCGAGCCAGGTTTATGCGTAGATGTTATATGCACGAGTAGAACACAAAGGAGTTGTGGGCGTGAGTATATACATATTTCTTGCCGTTACTACTTGATTCTTGATTTGGCGGTATTGTTGGATGAAGCGGCCTAGACCAAGATTACGCTTACGTATACACTCCAGTAGACTTAATGTAGGTCCAAAACAACCAATAAGGGTCGTGCCTGGAGGGGCAGCACACGTGAGGGCACGGCACGACCAATGTACTTGGCTGGGCCATGCCATAACTGTCCCGTATAACCATGGTCGTGCCATGCCAGTCCGGCCCGTTTGGCCAGGTTTGAGCCCAACTACTATGCCCTGGGCCAGGGCATTCCTCGTAGCCAGATAATAAGGTCCCGTGCCCCGGCTCTTCCCCGCCTCCTCTGCTCTTTACCCCGCCACGGTGAACCCTAAACTAAACTCTGCCGCCGAAGCCATGCCGCCGCCGCAGAAAAAGACCAAGGTGGAGCACGAGGTGCCACGCGCGACGGTGGCTAGCTCCGTGGTGTCGCTGACTAACTGGATGCGCGAGCGCGCGGCGGAGGCACCCCCGAACCTGCTCGCGGACGAGCGCGATGACCTCGTGGTGCTCCAGCTCTCGCTCAGCCGCATCCTGTCCAAGCCTACCACCAAGCCGCACCTCCTCCCGCTCCCGCACCCCATTGTCGCCCACTCGGCCTCCTCCGTCTGTGTCATCTCCGACTACGGCCCCTACGAGTCACGCTGCCACTTGGCCGCCTCCCACGACCTCTTCCTTGCTGACTACGCCCTACTCCTGATGTTGCCCTGCCTCCTCAGGAAGTCCTTGTACTCCACCAAAAAGGCCCCACTCGCGGTCGACTTCACCCGGGCTGGATGGCCAGAGCAGGTCCGCAAGGTCCTGAGCTCTACTTGCCTCTACCTGCGATCCGGGACCTGCTCGGGGATCAAGGTGGGCAGGTTGGACATGGAGGAAGAGGAGATCGTCGAGAACGTGATGGCGGTAGTGGAGGCTGATGTGGATAAGGTGCCAGAAAAGTGGGCAAACGTGAGGGCTTTGCATCTCAAGGCTGTGGACTCGGCTGCCTGCTGATATACCAGGTTGTGCCGGAGTTGGGCATGAAGATTGAGGTTTGGTAGCTCATTCATGCAGCGCTAGATTTTCGCAATAGATAAATCCCGAACATTCGGAATTTAAGCGTGTCATCCCATATGTTTTTTTATGGCAGCTTTAGTTGCTGCGAGGTGGCAACTTTAGTTGTTAACACATGGCAACTTCATTCTAGTTTGATTTTTTGTCAGAAAATTGCCATGTTTTGTCAACAACGCCTTGACTAAAGTTGCCATGAAAAGAATTCGGATTAGCATGCTTAAATTCTGAACGTTCGGGACTTATTGAGGTCCTAGATTTTTTGCCAGCTAAGTTTCGCTATGTGGGATCTGTCAGACTGTCGCTGATTAGTTTGTTTGTGGTGAACTTCAATTTGTACTCGAATCATGATGCATGTTTGGAAGAAACTGATTCTGTATGTAGAGGTTTTGAGACCGTGTTTACAGCTGAACGTCCAACTTCGTACTTCTTGTTCCTTTTTTTGGGGGGAATTAATGAGCTTTATTGATCAATTTTTGGGAATCAATGAGCTTTATTGATCAAGATTGTGATTACAACCTTTCCTTAGAGTATCGGCAAGGAACGAAGTAGTATAATTGAGACAAAGATGCACAGCTACATTAGCACCCCTCCCTCACTGGCGGCTCCACTAATTTGCAACCGGGTATTCATGTGTATTCGAGTAAATAGCAAGAAACCGCCACTTTCAAGGTTAGGTTTGCAGAAAACACTATTACATTTTTTCCAGAAAACACCACGTCTTGTGTAATCTTTTTGAAAAAACCACTGATTGGCAGATCAGTCTGTGTTAAATGAGATTATGACAGATGGGGCCCGCCAGTCAGGCTGACGTGACACAAAATTTTCACATCGTTACATTGAATCGTTTTGCTCTACATGGCCCCATTTGTCAGTGTATCAATCCTTTCTTAAACATTTCATCAAGCAGCTGGCGTGCAACACACACGTCGACGGTGGGGCGGGACGAGGCCATGGCGACTCAAGCACCAAGAACAACACGCGCAGAGAGTAGCGGTAGTGAGCAGTAGGGCTGGTGAGTAGCATGCAGCGGGCGCAGCGCGCTCGGCCGGGGGCGGGGCCGGCGGCCTCTGCCTCGGCCAGGGGCGGGACAAGGTCATGGCGGCTTGAGGCGCAGCAGCAAGCGCCGCAGGCGACGGCCGCGGTGAGATGAGCAGCAGCACACGCGGGGAGCAGCAAGGCCGGCACACGGTGGACGCGGGCGCAACGAGTGGTGGACCCGGCTAGCAGCAGCGGGCACGGCGAGCGACGAACGTGGCGAGCAGCGAGTGATACGTCCACTTTGCATCATGCTTTTATATCGATATTTATTGCATTATGGGTTGTTATTACACATTATGTCACAATACTTATACCTATTCTCTCTTATTTTACAAGGTTTACAGGAAGAGGGGGAATGCCGGCAGCTGGAATTCCGGGCTGTAAAATGAGCAAATATTAGAGACCTATTCTGCACATCTCTAAAAGTCCTGAAACTTCACGGGAGCACATTTCAGAATATATAAAAAATATTGGGCGAAAGAAGTACCAGAGGGGGCCACCCACCGTCCACGAGGGTGGGGGGCGCGCCCTACCCCCTGGGCGCGCCCCCCTGCCTCGTGGGCCCCCTGGCATCCCTCTGGTGCCCATCTTTGGCTATATGGAGTCTCTCGTCGAGGAAAAAATCATAAGCAAGCTCACGGGACGAAACTGCGCCGCCACGAGGCGAACCAATCTAGGGCTCCGGCGGAGCTGTTCTGCCGGGGAAACTTCCCTCCGGGAGGGGGAAATCATCACCATCGTCATCACCAACGATCCTCTCATAGGGAGGGGGTCAATATCCATCAACATCTTCACCAGCACCATCTCATCTCAAACCCTAGTTCATCTCTTGTATCCAATCTTTGTATCAAAACCTTAGATTGGTACCTGTGGGTTGCTAGTAGTGTTGATTACTCCTTGTAGTTGATGCTAGTTGGTTTACTTGGTGGAAGATCATATGTTCAGATCCATTATGCATATTAATACCCCTATGATTATGAACATGAATTTGCTTTGTGAGTAGTTACGCTTGTTCCTGAGGACATGGGAGAAGTCTTGCTATAAGTAGTTAGGTGAATTTGGCATTCGTTCGATATTTTGATGAGATGTATGTTGCCATCCCTCTAGTGGTGTCATGTGAACATCGACTACATGACACTTCACCATTGTTTGGGCCTAGAGGGAGGCATTGGGAAGTAATAAGTAGATGATGGGTTGCTAGAGTGACAGAAGCTTAAACCCTAGTTTGTGAGTTGCTTCGTAAGGGGCCGATTTGGATCCATATGTTTCATGCTATGGTTAGGTTTACCTTAATACTTCTATTGTAGTTGCGGATGCTTGCAATAGGGGTTAATCATAAGTGGGATGCTTGTCCAAGTAAGGGCAGTACCCAAGCACCGGTCCACCCACATATCAAATTATCAAAGTACCGAACGCGAATCATATGAGCGTGATGAAAACTAGCTTGACGATAATTCCCACGTGTCCTCGGGAGCGCTTTCCTTTATATAAGAGTTTTTCTAGGCTTGTCCTTTGCTAAAATAGGATTGGGACATATTGCTGCACCTTATTTACTTTTATTACTTCTTACTCATTACAAATTACCTTATCACAAAACTATCTGTTACCGATAATTTCAGTGCTTGCGGAGAATACCTTGCCGAAAACCGATTATCATTTCCTTCTACTCCTCGTTGGTTTCGACACTCTTACTTATCGAATAGGCTACGATAGATCCCCTACACTTGTGGGTCATCAAGACTCTTTTCTGGCGCCATTGCCGGGGAGTGAAGCGCCTTTGGTAGGTGGAATTTGGTAAGGAAAAATTTATATAGTGTGCTGAAATTTACTGTCACTTGTTACTATGGAACATAATCCTTTGAGGGGCTTGCTCGGGGTATCTTAACCCCGACCAGTAGAGCAAAGAGTTGCTCCTCAACCTACTGAACCTACTGAAAATTTTTACTTTGAAATCTCTTCGGGTATGATAGAGAAACTGCTAGCTAATCCTTTCACAGATGATGGAACATTACATCCCGATTTGCACCTAATCTATGTGGATGAAGTTTGTGGATTATTTAAGCTTGCAGGTATGCCCGAGGATATTATCAAGAAGAAGGTCTTCCCTTTATCTTTGAAGGGAGAGGCATTGACATGGTTTAGGCTATGTGATGATATGGGATCATGGAACTACAACCGATTGAAATTGGAATTTCATCAGAAGTTTTATCCTATGCATCTTGTTCATCGTGATCGTAATTATATATATAATTTTTGGCCTCGCGAAGGAGAAAGCATCGCTCAAGCTTGGGGGAGGATTAAGTCAATGTTATACTCATGCCCCAATCATGATCTCTCAAAAGAAAAGACTATTCAAAAAAATTATGCTCGGCTTTCTCTCAGTAATTGCTCCATGCTCGATACTTCTTGTAATGGATCTTTTATGATGAAGACTATTGAATTCAAATGGGATTTATTGGAGAGAATTAAACGCAACTCAGAAGATTGGGATCTCGATGAAGGTAAGGAGTCAGGTAGAACACCTAAGTTTGATTGTGTTAAATCTTTTATGGATACCAATGCTTTTCGTGAATTTAGCACTAAATATGGACTTGACTTTGAGATAGTAGCTTCTTTCTGTGAATCCTTTGCTACTCATGTTGATCTCCCTAAGGAGAAGTGGTTTAAATATAATCCTCCCACTGAAGTAAAAGTAGTTGCACCTATTAAAGTTGAAGAAAAGACTATCACTTGTAATGATCCTGTTGTTCCTACTACTTATATTGAGGAACCACCTTCCCCTGTTAGAATAAAGGATCATGCTAAAGCTTCAACTGTGGTCAACAAAAGTAATATTAAGACACCCAAACCCCCTGAGAAAATTAAAGTTGAACCTAGTGTTGCTATGATTAAAGATCTCTTGGCTGATAATATTGATGGGCATGTTATTTACTTTTGTGAAGAAGTTGCTACAATTGCTAGACCTGATACTAAAAATAAACACAGACCCGTTATAGGCATGCCTATTATTTCTGTTAAAATAGGAGATCATTGCTATCATGGCTTATGTGATATGGGTGCTAGTGCAAGTGCAATACCTCATTCCTTATACAATGAAATTATGCATGATATTGCACCTGCTGAGATAGAAGAGATTGATGTTACAATTAAGCTTGCCAATAGAGATACAATTTCACCCGTTGGGATTGTTAGAGATGTTGATGTCTTGTGTGGGAAAGTTAAATACCCTGCTGATTACTTATTCTTGGTTCCCCACAAGATAACTTTTGTCCCATTATATTTGGTAGACCCTTCTTGAATACTGTTAATGCTAAGATAGACTGCAATAAAGATATTGTTTCTGTTGGTTTAGGGGATATGTCTCATGAATTTAATTTTGCTAAATTTCATAGACAACCCCATGATAAAGAATTGCCTAGTAAATATGAAATTATTGGTATTGCTTCTATTGCCGTGCCTCCTAGTGATCCTTTAGAACAATATTTGCTAGACCATGAAAATGATATGTTTATAAATGAAAGAAGGGAAATAGATGAAGTATTCTTTAAATAGGGGCCTATTTTGAAGCAAACTTGCCTGTTGAAATCTTAGGGAATCCTCCTCCACCTAAGGGTGATCCCGTCTTTGAGCTTAAGCCTTTACCTGATACTCTTAAATATGCTTATCTTGATGAGAAAGAGATATATCCTGTTATTATTAGTGCTAACCTTTCAGAGCATGAAGAAACTAAATTATTGAAAACTCTGAAGAAGCACCGTGCTGTTATTGGATATACTCTTGATGATCTTAAGGGCATTAGTCCCACTCTATGCCATCACAAAATAAAACTGGAGAAAGATGCTAAACCGGTTGTTGATCACCAACGACGGTTAAATCCTAAGATGAAAGAAGTGGTAAGAAAA